CTCAGACGTAAAAATCGTCTGAGAAAACATAAGTTTCCTTAAATTTAAATATGTTGGGTGATTTTTTCGTTTTTGGTAGGCATTCAGTAAGCGAAGGGTCGCTGCATAGCAGCGTATTAGATTTGACTTGCCTTTAGTATCGATGTCCTTTTTCTAGCAACTAACGCATATATCAGGCGACCTCTCACATATTTCGACCTCTGCACATTTGATATTTAGAGACAAATTTAGAGATGCATTCTATGTCGAGTTTTATCCGTTTTTGGTAGGCACCCACTCAGACGTAAAAATCGTCTGAGTAAATATAAGTTTTCTTAAATTTAAATATGTTCGGTGATTTGTTCGTTTTTGGTAGGCATCCATTGCTGGGTCCAGGAGCTTCGCGATGCTACCGCTCGTAAGCACTGCCCCATCTAAAGACAACATTGACAAACTTCTGGTCTGTTAGCTGCAAGTTCGAGGGGCCACAAAGTGATCTGGCAGACGCTTGGTTCGTAATTTACCCGGCCATCGCTCATCTCTTCCTGATCTACTTTAGCATCCTCAACACGTTGGGAAAAATCCTCCGTCGTCGTCTATCCAATGTACTCTTCACGCCGACGGTCGTGGGGCTGTGCTTGTTGCATTATTTCCGCTACAGACTCGCCCACTCTGGGTGGCTGAGTGGGGTGGACGGCCGTGTTGGCACTGTGTTGTTATCCGCCGAGATGGAAAGGCTGCAACTGATCGACTACTTCACGACGGACATCGCCTGGCGCGTAAATGGCCGGGTGACGTTAGTGTTCGCTGTGAAGATCGGTCTCTTCGTCGTCAATTTGCTGCCGCTTCTTGCTGCTCATTCGTTCCCGGTCCGCCGTAAGGATTCAGATCTCCGCTTACATTGAGTTGAGAAGGCGATTGCTTTGCGGGTCAGAGAAGTTGGCAGGCTTGCCAACTCGCAGCCGTATTTGCTCGCGGTAGCGGACTGTAGATTTACGAAGTTATTATCGAGGCGCTTGGTCGTTGTTGTCGCCCCTCGTGGTGACAAAAGCGATCGAGAAGATCCTTCCGCCATCAACTCTATCAGCCCGGTCAAGAAGATCCTCCCGGAAGACTTTTAAATGGGCATCAGACTTGAGTACCTCGTGTTTGGAGATATCTATCTCACTACATTCCAAGAATGGGGTCGACTGTCAGCGATGGCGCCGTTCCGAGCATTTTTCCACTTGTGGAACCACCGAGTGCTTATTTGGAGGCTTCGACCTTTTTCCACAGGTGGCGACGCCGAGATTGTCGGGGGTCTATCTCTCGAATCCACTGAACCGGAGATGTAGCGGCTCGACGACCCGAGTCTAAAAGATATTCGCTGGTGGCAGGTGTCCGCCTGCAGCATCCAGTGCTGACGTGTGATGGCTAGGTGTTCACATCTGCGCGACGGATGTCATACTCTCGTGAGTATTACGAGAGAATAACACTCGTCGCGAAGCCGACTAGTGTATTTGATGCAGCGTACTAGTAGATCACCTAGCCTATAAAATCCTTTTCTAGGCCCGCTCTTGATCACCCGCAGAGACTACAGACGCTAAAAATTGGACGTCGGAACTGCAAATGTGGCGCTTCTTAGCTAATCAATCGTTATTGTGAAAGGTGGCAGCGCTGTACAAGCTAACGGTCAACACAGTTCTCGCGAGTCGCTTTGTCGGACCGGTTTGGGGCCGGCCGCCGCTGTATTGGAGTAGTAAGTGCTGCCTGTGCTTATAGGTTTATGGGGCACAAATAGCAAGGAGGGCACTAAGCAAAATGCAATAAGTGTTCCTTACGACCTGTGTGGTCCTTTTAAGCAAAATTGACGACTGACCTTCCTTCTACTCCTAACTCTTCCTCTCTACCTCTGCAGATCCTTGCGTTTCAGTGCCTTCGGGTGACTCAGTTCCCGCTCACCCCTCCCAAAGACTTGATCCGTTCACCTTGGCGACCCTCAAAGCCGCCCAACATGCCATCCGTCCCCGAAGTCCCGCCACGACACTGCGAGGCACATCATCCCTCCAAGATACCTCTGGGTAGCGGCCCACGGGTCTCCACCTTCGAGACAACCCGGCCCACGGCCCACTACTTCTCGCCCGCGGCCACAGCAGGTGGACGACCTCAGGCACTCATCGTCGCCCACGCAGAGTTGGAACGGTCCGAGCCGTTCCGACTCGGGGCATCCTCGCCGAGCGCACGCAGCTTGATCCACTTCTCTCCTTGCTTGCCAGGCCCTCCGTTTGGCCTGCAATCCACTTCGCGTCCGCACCCGCACTCTCGGCGCATTGCTCCCGCCGTCCATCCTCCAGAATGCCTCACTTAGACGCTCAGTCTGCTCCTGCTCCTCGAGAGCCGCACCACGCAGCGTAGCCCTCCGTGGCCATGGTCAGCGGTGAACACTCGCCTGCCGACGCCTCGTACAACCTCCACAGCTTGCTGGTTATGCATACCAGCGCAACCCAAACATTCACCACCAGCAACCAGTAGTTAGTCTCTATTGCCTGCCCGCCCTCCTCGGAGGCGAACCAGCAATCGAAGACCACGACTACGGCGAACACGCCGGCCACGCCCTGGCAGATCCACTCGACGACTTCGTAGATGAACAGCACGACGTAGAACGCCGAGAACAGGATCAGGGACGTCAGCGTCCACACCACCTTGGCGACAAGCTTGGCACGGGCGACCGAACGGCCAGACTCCAGACTCGCGCCCGTGCAGTACTTGGAGCACGCCTTCCGTCCCGACGCCCAAGTCTCTGGCAAGAAGACGCACCACCACTCGTGGAGGGCGTCAAGCCACTTGTAGAGCAACCTCCCCAGCCCGTCTTCATGCTCGCCCTTGGACTCCAGCACAACCAACGGGGTGGCCAGCAGGGCCTCGTAACACTTCCACACGCGAGTTCGGAGCGGCTGCATGTGCACGGCAGGCCAACGGGCATACCTGCAGTAGCGCATGACGCATAACTTGGCCAGCACGCTCCACTTCAGGGCGAAGTCGACGAACGCAGCGGCGATCCGTGAGCCGATGCTTCGCAGGGGACCGTAACCGTCCACGACACTGCTCCAGCAGTGAGCCACGCCAGCTCCCAGCGACGCTCCACCGCAACTCGACACGCTGCCTCAGCAGCGACCACCACTATTGCCGCCAGGCCGTTCACCACGTCCGTCGCCCACTCCATCGTTCCAGCAGCACTAATCCATAATGACGGCCACTTCGACGCCGTCCGAGTCGTCCTGACCGTCCGCGCGCGCCACCCTTGGCGGTCACCATCGACCTGCAGAGGGTGCGTGGCACCCAAGGCCCCGTTACTGCCAGTTGGTCATCAGCGTCGCTCGCGGGTTCTTCGAAAGTGACCAGTTAGTTGGGCGTCTCTCTCAGACGGTCGCAGCCATCCACAACGTGAGTCACATTTCGTCAATTCACTTGAAGTCACGTGGTAATCAGAAGTTGCCGTAGCCGCCCCACTGAAAGTTGCCTCATTCCGCAATTTTCGTCGGGCCGCGCACCAAGCATCTCTCCGCTCTCTCCCAGGCCTCGCCTCGCCTCGCGTCCGTCATGGTCAAGAAGACCAACTCCGACGTCACCGACTTCGACAACCAGGTGGGCAGTCTGGACATGGCCCTCGAGCTCGACGACGAGGGGGACGTCTTCATCGCGCATCGCGAGTTTTGGGCGCGCCTCCGGACCCGTCTCTCCGTCAACAATGCGTCCCAGGGGCTAGACGTCCTGGACGCCATGGCCATAGACGTCCTGTCGGGAGGCGACGCGCGCCGCCTGAACCAGATCCTCGTGATCCTGCCGCACCCCGACGAGATGCAGGCCGGCGAGCCTGCCGAGCACTCCGTCCTGTCGATCCCGCTGCCGCCGTTGGTGCCCACGCCAGAGTCGACGCCACCGCCACCACGTCCATCGACAGGGACCAGATCGTCTCCACGGACGTCTTCCAAGACGAGGCCGCCATCGAAGAAGAAACAGAAGGCCGCGGCCAAGAAGAAGGCCGAGGCCTACGACTTCCGGTTGCCGACGACGGCGCCCGCGCGACTGAAGATCGACCTGGCCGCACTTGCGCAGCGCGCCTTCAGCAAGGGCCTCGCTCCGTTCCGCTTGGTGTACCCCTGGCGCAAGCAGCGGTGCTGGTACCCGCCATCCGAGTATCCCGAGTTGCACCTCGTCCACTACCGTGCCAACATGCGCTTCCGCGAGCTGTTTTTCCTGTGGGTGCTGTACGCGCCTTGTCTGAATGCCGACCAGCGGCGCAAGGAGAAAAGGAATGCGTGCCGAGCACGGAACTAGCTGATCAGCTACAACATCGAGGAGCGAGGGTACTTCGGCTTTCTCGACGACTTCGAGAACGGAGCTCATTACACGCTCATGTGGTTGGGAGGCAGAGCGGCCAAGCACTCTGCCGGCGCGGCTAAGAGCAAGGGCGCGGTGCACGAGGACCTCGGCGTTGTCTTCGCAAAGGACAAGATTCTCTACGAGCGGGCCATCGAGCGAGCTCTCGACCCCAAGATCGTCGACGAACACGGCTACGCCTCGATTCCGGAGCTCCTCGAGGAGGCGGAGCTCATCGACCCCACGCGAGCGCCACACCTGCGACTCTCCGACAAGGCTCTCGGTCGCATCAAGCACGACGTCACCAGCGGGCCGCCCCCCGTGCTTTCTTGGGTGGGCAACCGAACCCGCGGTCCGTGGAAGGCCCTCTTGTCGGACGCGTCGCTCAAAGAGACCATCGAGGAGGTGGTCGAGCTCCTGGACTTGGGCATGGAGGTGGCCGTGTACGACCAGAAGCCCTTCAACCCCGACGAGCAGGGCGACGATGACTCGGACTTCGAGGACGAGGACGGAGCCTTCACGGCGTTGCCTCCGACGCCCCCCGTGCAGTACCGGGCTCCCGCCGTCAAACAGCGAGCTACCACTCCGTCCAAGCCAGGGGTTCCGGTTTCTCGCTCCAGCAAGTCAGGCGAGTCCGAAGACTCCAGCGACGACAAGAAGAAGCCGGCGGCCAAGGACGACAGCGACAAGGACGACATGGCCCAACCCAAGACCACCAAGGCCCCCGTCGCGGCCAAAGAGACGCTGCCGGGCGACGAAGCAGACGACGACGGCGAGGTAGCGAGCGAGCCTCCGACCAAGAAGCTCAAGTCGCGTTTCGCAAGCGTCGACAAGGCCAAGTGAGTCATGCGCACACCTCGGATCTCCGTTTATCTTCTTCATTTCGTTGTAGTCGAGTCTAGTGCAGCCGCAGCAGGTAAAACCAAATAAAAACATGAACTTGACATGCATATCCACCATTCTTGAGCTGCTCGTAAATCCATATCCACAATCACAGGTTCTTCAGCTCAAGAACATCACCAACTACGCCAGCAGCAAATAGTCATCATCGACTTGGGCGTTAGCGTCCGGCAAACGCGCACTTCGACGAAGCTCCGGCAACCCCTTCTTCCTCCTATCCGCTTGCTCAAAAGCGGTCACCAACGACGCATACTCGGGCATCAAAGCCTCCCTGGGCAGCCAGAACACCTCATACGAGCTGGTCATCGTCAGGTACTTCACGCCCTGACCGTCCTTCATCTTCGCCACTATTTCCACGATGGGGGCTTCCACGCCCACAATAACAGTGTCCTCATTTCCTAGTGTCAACCGTTCCGCGTAGCTCGACGCAGGGAGGTCGGCCTCTTCCAACGGCCCCTCTTCTTCGTTTTCATCACTAGTGCCCAGACCCTCGGGCACTTCATCCATATAAGGCCGGGTCCACTTGCCACGATACCTTTTCAGCCTATTCACGTTCACGGTCACCGTTTTGCTAGGGTGAGTCGGGATGTCGACCCGATAAGCGTTCTCGCCGACCTTGGCTACGATCCGATAGGGACCGTGCCAAGCGAAGGCAAGCTTCTTCGTGCGCACTTCGCCGCGTTTCGCCCTGAACACCTGGTAGACCCACACCGGGTCTCCTATTTCATAATTCACTTCGCCTTGCCCTTCCAGGCGCTGCTCGTGCCGATCTTGCGCCTTCAACAACTGACGCTCAACCAAATGTCGCGAGGAACGGAGAGAGCTGTACAGATCTAGCCTATACTGAGCCACTTCATTACTCCGCCACTTCTTGCCAAGATTGAGGAAGGCCACGTCCATCGGAAGCACTGGGTCGCGCCAGTACAGCGAGAAAAACGGCGAATCTCCCAGGGCCTCGTGGTAGGCCGTTCTGTAGGCAAAAAGCACTCTAGGAAGATAAACATCCCAATCATCTTGAGCCTAACTCACATGCATTCGAAGCATTCCTATGAGCGTTCCGTTGAATCTCTCGACGAGTCCTTGAGTCTGAGGGTGGTAGGCAGCACCAAAGAGTTTCTTAATGCCCAACGTCTGATAGAAGGACTTGGCCACCTCAGACGTGAAGTTCGAGCCGTTGTCGCTCAGCAACCGCGACGGCACTCCGTGCCGAGACACCACTCCGTTCACCATCACCTCCACGAACGTCCTGGAGTCCAAGCGCTCCACGGCGAACGCCTCGGCCCAGCGAGTGAAGTAATCAACGAAAACTAAAATATAGCGATTGCCACGCTCGGTTTCGGGCAGAGGTCCCACGGCGTCCACCACGAGCAACGAGAACGGCCCCGTCAGATCCACGATGGGCATTCACTGCATTCGACCAGCGCGCCACGGACGCGCACCCTTGCCACTTCCGCACTTATCACATTCGCGCAAATACTCCTCGACGTCCTGTCGCCACCCTGACCAGTACGCGTGTCGCCTCACCTTCTCGAGCGTCTTCGTGAGGCCGAGGTGCGACGACAGTAGATCAGCGTGACAAAATTGTAAGACTGTTTCAACGAACGGAAGCGGTATCACGGGCACGGTCAGCGATCGAGCGGGCCCGACGCGCGCGGGGAGATTCACTCTGCGCGTCAACAGCTCGTTCTCGACGGCGAACTTGGATGCGATCCTCACAACCTTCACTCGTAAGCTAGGGTCCAGCGGCAGCGCTCCACCCGCCAGGAACGCGATCAGGGCCATCACCCACGGGATCTTCCGCTGCTCCACCTTTAACTGCTCCATATCGAGTCCGAACAAGTCCACGGACGACGGAGGGACGTCCGTCGGCGCGGACCCGTCCTCAGTAGCGTCTTCTGGCAACGGAACCGCGGTCTCCGTGCCCATCTCGCCGCCGCCGTCTCTAGTCATCGGTTCGGGCGCCACGTTGGACAGCTCCCCGACTGAGTCGGAAGCCACGGCTCGATCGGACGGCTCCCCGACTGATTCGTTGGCCACGGTCTCGGGCGAGTCGTCCGGATTTAGCAAGTCGGCCATGCCCACAGGCGAGCCCCCCCCCCCGGGTTCAGCAGGTCCGCCATGGCCAGCGCGTTCACACTCGCGGTGGGGAGGCGCGACAAGATGGCCACGTGCCCCATGCTCGTCCCGGGCTTGCGATGCACTCGTAATTGTAGATTGGACAGCTCGATCGCCCAGCGAGCGAGCTTAGCATTGGTCGTGCGGTTGCCAGGACTGAAGATCCAGGTAAGCGCCTGATGGTCAGTGTAGAGATCAAACTCTCGCTTATCTAGGTAGCAGCGGAACTTCCGCGTAGACCAGACAATGCCCCAGCATTCAATTTCAGAGATTCCGTCTTGGTTGTTGATCCAGTTCTTCTGAGAGCCTGTCAGTAACTTGCTAGCATAGGTGACAGCACGGTCTCGACCGTCCACCACCTACATAAGACAAGCACCGGCAGCATACCTCGACGAGTCGACGTAAAGCTTGAATCGTTTCTTCATGTCCGGGTAGACTAGGATAGGAGGAGTGACTTGCGCCCTTTTCAGCTTGCGGAACGCCACCTCACAGTCCTCGTTCCAGACGAACGGAGTGTCTTTCATTTTCAGGCGTTCCAGCGGCGTAGAGATCAGAGCGTACCCCGGGATATACCGGCGGAAGTAGCTCGTCAGCCCGGATGTCATGCACATCGCGCGGCCTCTGCACGTTCATGACAGCCTTCACCTTCTCGGGGTTCGGGAGGATGTCCATGGGTGTCACAATGTGCCCGAGAAAGGCGACCTGACTCCTGCCCCAGTGGCATTTCTTCATCTTCAGTTTGAAGCCGGCCTATTGAAAGCGGGTCAGCACTTGCCGAAGGCGAACGAGGTGCGACGGGAAGTCCTCGCTGAAGATGACGCAGTCGTCCAAGTACACCAAGCACACGCGCCACTTGAGGTCGACAAGCACGGTCTCCATCAACCATTCGAAAGCAGGTACAGCATTGCATAGGCCAAAGGGCATGACTGACCATAATATGATCGAATAGACCGTATTTGCATGTGAAAGCCGTTTTAGCAATACTGCCTTCATGCATGGGCACGTTCCAGTAGCCTGAGGCGATGTCCATGGTCGAGAACAGTTTGGCTCCACTCAGCATGTCCAGGATGTCGTCAATCAGCGGCATAGGATAGCAATCTTTGACCGTTACGGCGTTCAACTTGCGATAATCGATGCAGAAACGGATGCCCCCGTCGGGCTTCCTGATCATCAACACGGGGCTGGCCCTGGGGCTGTTCGAGGGCCGGACGAAGCCCAGCTTCTGGTACTGCTGGATCTCCGCCTCCATCACCTCGCCCTCGGCGAACGACACGCGGTAGGGCTGCTGCTTGATCGGCTTGCTGTCCCCAGTATCAATCTGGAACTTCAGCAAGTCGGTCCTGCCGGGCGAGTTGGACGACTCCACGAACATGTCTCGGAAGCGCTCCAGCTCGCTGCGGAACAGCGACTTCTGCTCATCCGACAGCCTCGACTGGGAGAAGTCGGCCTCGAGCCTCACCTCCTTGTCGGGCGGCACATCGGGCCTCGACGCCCTCACAGTCTCGCCGAGATCCGGCCCCTTTTCCTCTTCTCCACGACTGGCAGCAACGGTGGCCGCCCCGCTAGCCTCGTGCGGACGGCTGGGCGCCCCTTCGGACTTCTCCGCCGACGGCTGCTCGAAGCCGAACGCCGACTCGAGCACCACGGACGTCGAGGCCACCACCGTGCCCTTCTTGATCCAGAACTCTTCTGTCGATGCGTTGCAGACCTCCACGACGACTCGACCGTCGTCCACAGTACAGAGCGTTCTCGCCACGCAAAGCGAAGGCGGCAAGTTGAGAGAGCCCTCCACGAGGACGGTCGCGTTCGGGGCATCGCCCACCACATCCGTGACCACCAGGGCCTGGCCCCTTGGCGGCAAGCGGACGGACACGGCCATCGTGGCCATGAACGATTCGTGGACCACCATCAAGCCCAACGATAAGCCTTCGCCCGTGCTCTTCAGCATGAGCGTCCGCTCAGCCACGTCAATCACTGCTCCGAACGCGCCCAGCGCGTCGACGCCCAAGATAGCGTCCACATGCAACTTGTCGGCCACGAACATCCGCATGGTCACCCCGACCTTGCCCAGCATTAGGGGGAGAGTGATCAACCCCCGAATGCGCAGACGGTGTCCAGACGAACTGCGTACATGCCCGTCGTAAGCCTCCAGAGCTTCACCAGCTCGGCCCAGACGCTTCAGAACACGGAAGTCGACGAGAATGAGCGTTGCGCCCGTGTCCGCCAACATCTGCGAAGGCAGGCAGTCGATGTACCCGCACGACAGCGCCTCGAAGTTCCCCACAGTGCCCACCACACGCCGACCACCGGCAACTACGCGTGGGAGCTCGGCTCCACACTCATCATCGTCCTCATCAACACGGGCGCCGAAGCCGTCCGGCAAGTTCACGGTTACCACCTCCACCATCCCGGTCTTCCGTCCACGCTCCGGCGGTGGACGCTCGGGACGGACCACTTGCACGTAGTGCGTCGCGTCGTCGTCTTCTTCAGGACGGAGCTTCCCGTCCAGCGTCTCGGCCGAATTGCGGTACAACGCCGTGAAGTCAAAGCATACGGGCCGCCGCGAGCGACGCCGCAGCCGACGCTTCGCACTCGCCGAGTAGGCTTCTCTAACTCGATCTAGTAGCTTATTCTAAATATACGTAGCGTTCTCATTGTAGTACTCGTTCGTCCATTTCTTCACAGGTTCTCGCCAATCGATTTGGTCTTCGTTTTCACCAGCAACTTGGTCACCATCGTGCACTAGGCGCACCCAGTCTAGATCAGGTGGCTTATCACGAATCGGGGGGATCTCGACCGTGCCGCCTTCTCCGAGCGGGTCGCAACGA